CCCTCCCGCACCAGCAGCAAAGAGCGGTGGCTCCACACAGATTTACATGCGATGGCCTGAAAAAAGGGGTTTGAGCTCAGCCTTTGGTGGAGAAGCATCCCCTCCACAGCTGCTAGAGGCGGCAACGAGCAGTCTGTGTTTGGGCAGGGCCAGGAGAAAGGGAAAGGGCTTCACGAACCGCCCCCATCACCCTGCCAGCTCTCACCCATGATGGCCAGGGCGGTCGCCTTGCTCAGCTGACTCTTCACGGACTCGATCACCTCCAGGTTGCTGCCATCCAGGTTGCATCTGTTGATGGTGCCATTGCCAGAGCTGATCCAGTACAGCTTGCTCTCTGGGTAGTCAATGGCCAGGCCTGGAAAGCAAGGGACCGTCAGTGTCCAGGTGGCACGCAGGGACCATCACCATCTGGGAGATGGGATGGGACTGGCAGAGCGGATGGGGTGATGGAGAGAATGGGCACGCAAGGTCAGGGTGACCCAGCACAAACCAGCTGCCAGCCCCCCGGGGAGCCAGGGCTGCCAGAGTGGGGGCTTGAGGCTTTTAGGGCCAGCAAAGGCACCGCAATGGGGGGGTGGTACCAGGGGGATAGGGAGTCCGTACCAACAGGCCCTTTCTGGTTCGTGAAGAGGAGAGTGCGGTTGCTGCCATCCATGTTGGCCACGCTGATGTTGTCCCCGTCTGTCCAGTAGAGCTTCCTGCACCGGTGAGGGGACACTGAGCACGGCAGCTCCAACAGCCCCGCAGAGATGGCCCACACGCAGCTCTGCTGCCCTCTCAGCCCACCCAGGCTCCGCCAGCCCCCGCCACCCCAGCCTGCTCTCCAGGCTCCTCTCCAGCCTGCTCTCCAGGCTGAGGCCAGCCCCGAGCTGGCCCCTCTCCCCTCTCGCTGCACAGCCTGGGCAGCCCAACGGCCTCCTCGCCTCCGGTGCTGGGACCCAGGAGATGGTTTGGCGTTTGCAAGCACTCGCGCTGCCCTGCCCAGCAAAGCCCCGAGCACACCCAAACTGGCACACGCTCTTGGATGCACACTTATCCACAGCCTGTTCTCCTTCACGTGCACACCTGTGTGTACGGAAATGCAGCCTGCGGCTTTGCGCACGCCGACAGACACACGCCTCCCGAGCTGTGCCCCGTCTCCTCTCACACACCTCCTACACGCGCTGATACATAGGGAGAGCAACCTGTTCTCTCCTCCACCGCGCACGTGCACTGTCACGCGCATGCACATGTGGGCTTGCACGTACAGCTTCTCCTCCTTTGACGCTCCTGGCCTGACCCCAAGCCTTCTGGCACCACGTCCCGCCAGAGACTTACCCCCGGAGGGGGTGAACCACCAGGCAGTGAGGCTTGTCCAGCCCCTGGATCACCGCGTTCTTGAAGGAGCCGTCCAGCCGGGCCACGTTGATCTGCTTCTTGTTGGCGTCGTAACTGGTCCAGAAGAGGTTTCTGGAAACCCAATCCACAGAGAGGCCGTGAGCGTTGGGCAGGTCTGAAAGGGAATGGAGAAGAAAGCCTTATTAGTTGTGAGAACAGGGCTGGGATGATGCTCAGATGAAGAGGAAGGGCTGATCTCATGGAGCCGAAGCCTGTGGAGGGCTCGCGGCTCTACCCCACTTCGGGACCTGACGGGAGCAGCCGTGCGGGGTGATGCTCCTCCACACCCACCCGCAGAGACGACGGTCTCCACACCGGTGCCGTTGATGAAGGCTCTCTTGATGGTCTGAGTGCGGACATCAGACCAGTAAATGCGCTGCTCCAGGGCATTGTAGTCCACCACCGTCACATTGTCGATGTCGGGCACCGTGAAGGAGATGATGTAGTTGTAGTAGGGGTTGTCGATGTCCACGCCCCGGATCTCCATCTGCCGTGCGTACAGCAGGAACTTCTTAAACTCTGGGGAGAAGGATGAGAGGGGCAGCTGTGGGACCTCAGCCTAGTCTGCAAAGCCAGCTCCGAAGCACCCACTTGTCCTCCCTGCCCCGGGACGGCCTGGGCAGACTCCTACCATAGCAGGTTGTGTTGTCCTTGTCCAGCTTCATGAGGTGGGGGCAGGCACAGGACAACGTGCGGTTGTAGTTGATGAGGCAGAGGTGGGAGCACGGCCCTTTGCCCCCGTTGGCTTCACAGGGATTAGGAGCTGCAAAGGGGATAACACTCAGTGATGTCCCTGTTCTAGGGGACACCTATGCAGGAGGCCTCAGGCAGCTGCAGACCTCCCAGACCCTGCCTGTCCTGTCGAAGAGCTCTGACCCATCAGCCTCATCACCCCAGGACACTTCTTTGCTGGGTGGCCAGGGCCATAGCGGAGGCCTCCAGCTCAGGGAAGGTGAGGAGGGGCAGCCACAGAGGTGGGAGCGGCTCCCACGCGATGCTCCGAGTCGGTGTGGGCGCACCGAGTGCCGGCGCCATCTCCCCACTGTGCTCCCCCTGCCCCATCCCGCCACCTCTGCTTCCCCAGGCCTCACCCAGGGGCTGCCGGGAGGGGTGATACACCTGCAGGTCGAAAGGCTGGGTGTTGGTCCTCTGCACCACTGTCACGTTGTGCCCTGTCCACTTGTTGGCCTTGGCCAGTGTGTTGGTGCGCCAGTCGGTCCAGTAGACCTCACCCCCATACAGGGTGACGGCGAAGGGATGCGACAGGTACTCGTGTCCCCGCAGCACCTCGATGTGCCCTGTCCCATCGTACAGGGCTGAGTAGATGGCGTCTGACCTGTGCCCAGCAGAGAGAAGGGGTGAGAGCAGGCAGACGCTGGGCAGGGGGTATCAGGCACAGGCAACGGCCCGGTCTTTAAGCCAACAGCAACGACCCACAGGGTCTAAGCAGCCGCCTCCTCCGCTCTGCTTAATGCTGCGGAGGAGGACGACTGCTGATTTACACCAGGGATCAGAGCCCCCGCAGAGGAGAAAACGCAGAGCAAAGGCTGGAACGTGTTGCAGACACAAACAGACCCCACAGAGCAAAGGCTTTCACTTCCAAATGGCAGAACAACACAGGAGCGAGGGGGAAGGTGCCAGAGCTGGGAGGGACGGGCAGGGCAGGGGTCCAGAGGGGACAGGGAGGGGGAGGCGCGGGGCAGAGACGGGAGTCCTGTCCTACCTGGCGTCGATCCAGAGGATGCGCTTCTCCAGGTAGTCGACGGTGAGCCCGTTGGGCCAGCCCCCCGAGCCCGTCTCCTTGTGTATGGTGCGCCGGCCCGCGCCACTCATGGAGGCGGCCTCGATGCGGGGCAGGCTGGCGTCCCAGTCTGTCCAGAAGAGGATCCTGCGAGGGAAGGGACAGTCAGCACGGGGACACCAAGCTCTGCCTCCCGAATCGGCAGTGGGGTGTGTGCCCAGACAGAAGCCCGTGGCCTGGTCCCCCCGCAAGATCCCAAGGGTGCCACCGTGCCCTGGTGACCGATGTCCCCTCCTGCCTTACCCATAGCGGGGGTCCAGGGCAATGGCGCGGGGATGCTCAATGTCCCCAGCCAGCAGCGTGGTTCGCATGGTGCCGTCCAGCTTGGCCACCTCGATCTGGTCCAGGTTGCTCTCCACCCAGTAGATGTTGCCAGCGATCCAGTCCACGGCCAGCCCCTCGGGGGTGGCCAGCCCGTACTGTATCACCACCTCGAAGCTGGTCAGAGCTGCAGGGGGCACAGCGCCCGGAGGGCTCAGGCTGGTGCCTCCTCTCTGGCCCATCCGCACTCATCGCGCCCCCG